AGGGGCATTGAGAAATAGGATAGGTTTTCTTTATTTTTTACTTTATTGGAACACAGTTTTAGAAAATTGCCAATCTCGCATTTTCATAAATAGAATTAATAGGTTCAAACAAATCAAGGTCCATTTAGCTTTTTCTCATTTGAGCTTGTCAGATTTTAGATGTGCAAATTTCCTGGGAACAGAAAAAAGTATTTGCTTTGACTTGCTATCTGAAATGGGTTGTTCCTTTTCAAAAGTTGATTTCATCTGACATTATTAAACAGTTGAATTGCTGTTAGGTCATCTGTAGCCTAATTAACACTAATTGATCTCTTGAATGGCAGGATTATTAATTCAGTTTAATTACTCAGTAGAACATCTGAACCTGGCCAACACCGGAGGTTTGGGGTCTGGGATGGAAGGCGGGTATCCGGTGCAATCGGAACCACCTCTGTTGAATGAAATGCCCGTTATCACTGTGTGCCCTGACTTCTGGCTTTTCTCTCAGAATCTGGCTTTTGAAAGCTTTGGTTGAAAAAAAAAAACAAATGCAAGCCACATGCAAGCTTTAATCTTGTGGGAAACCAGAGGGTCACATTGTAATTGTCGGTTGCTATTGTGAAGAATGTAATTGGTTTGATAACAAGAAAAAATGTTTTTCAGTGAAATGCCTAAGGGAGTATGTTGTTATTCTCCCCAAATCTAAGGTGTAACCTTCTGCTGCTTTTTCAGCCTCGGTTCCACCTCTCTGAGCGTAAACAAGTAGATCTCAGCCCTTCTTCCGCCCCCATCTTATATGCCTGAAAAAATTTTTTCTTTTTATTGTGTTGTTTTAGATAAAAGTTTTTGATCCTTCAAAAATACATTCAAAAATTCTTTTCAAATCTAAATTCGTGCCTTGAATAACCAACCAAACCTTCTCTCACTGTTCTTTCATGTTGATGCTTGTTTGTTTATAGTAAAAGCTGGAGGAATGCGAATTTCCAAAAAACAAGAAATTGGCATCTTGGAGAGACATAACAAAAAAACAGGATTAGAGAAAACAAGGTAGGGACTGCTTCATTTTTTCTTCATCACCTTGAGAAGTTTTTAACGACTCTGCTTCCAGAAGTTATGTTAGGACAAACCAAGGCTCCCTGTGGCATTTGGAGGCAGCCAGCCAGGGTGGGGTGGGGTGGGGTGATGATGTATGGTGACTTGGGTGGCACAAGGGGTAGGTGGCTGCCATCTGGAGGGCTCTCTCTGGGCCCCCATCACAACCTCCACCCATTCTTCTCCTCTCTGCGTCCAGCCCAGCAGCTTCGACCTTAAAACTCATGGTCCTAAATGTATCCAAACTGAATACATGTCCTATTTTCAGATCAGCCTTTAAAATATTGTCTCTAGGCTGGCCCTGTTTTCATAATATGCTTTCTGCTGAAGCAAATCTCCTGAATTAAAAATAAATGCCTTTTTTGGTTTTAAATTCGTCACTCAATTATTTAGAAACTAATGGCCACTATATTTGGCATAGCCGGAAGGCATATAGAGAGTGAGGCTGGCTTTCCCCTGCTCCTTCAGCCATAACCTTGACACTGCGCTATTCCGAGCTCAGCAGAGAGCTGTGGGCTGCATCAGATACGCAAATGGCCCAACCACCCTAAGCCTTGGTTAAGGAAAATGAGTGCATTTTAAAAAGAAAGAAACATGTAGAACTGGTTCCTCCAAGTAGCATAACGAGGAGGCTTCAGAGACTATTAATTTTAAGATGGTTTCCATAAATCAATTGATGAGTGACTCAAAAGGAGTCGATTAGAAGATGCTCAAGGCACCTCCTGAAGACTTAAATGGCACCAGTCTCAGAAAGAGAATGTGGAGGGAAACCGACTATGGAATTTCTTTTACTCTTTTAT